AAATAACTCCATTGTAAATAAACAAGCTTATTTCTTTTACAGACTTAATAAACTACTAGGTATTTTACATAGATAAATAAAATGGCGTAACAAAATCAACAGTTTAGTCTTTCCAAATAAATACCTCTTCATTTTCTAGGATTTTTTAATATCAGTTCAATATCTGCCTAGTGTGAATTTTTAGGTCTTTTAAAAGTAGTATACGAGATTAATGAGATATTATGCATATTCTGGATAATACACGGAAGGAAATTTTGAATCAGAGTATTATTTCCTCTATCTTTATCAGATGATCCTTCTTTGCAAGTTGTTGTCTAGGGTAATGAAGATAATCTTCCATCATCTTGGCAGACCTCATTTAACAGCTTGTCTTTCCCGAAGTCTTGATTCTTAAAATCATTTGTGAAAGTAACATCGATGGACTATCAGATCCAGTTTAAGTAAAACCAAGATTTATAAAATGTACGGTGGACGGATCTTATCTTTAACCACATTTTGAACCACTGTTCAACATGCGTTGTTCTTCCTATGCGTTGAAAAAAAACTTTTTTCCGAGGATCGCTAATGGCAAATAATTTCCTGTTAATGTATAAAGTTTAATTGTTCAAGAGCTGTTATCTGGATGGATTGTTATCAAACCACCAATAGCTTTTAACTGTAATGTCAATGGAGAGTTATTGACGACCTGTTTATAGCAACTAGTTGTGTATGAAATTGCCTTGCCATCAGTTTGATTAACAAATCCATCAAAGTAATTGAAAATATGTTCGTCACAAAGTGAAACCATTTTCTAATTTAAAACCAATGTTTTCCAAAACATTTTGATATATTGGTTCGTCAGTTGTGTTCACGTCAAACGTTTTAACTTTTTTTTTTGATATTTTTGATTCGAGTTTTTGATTACTAGTCACAAAGGAGATTGGTATTTTTAAAACTGTAAAAGTGACAGTACGGAATGCAATGCTACATTAGTTGGTATCTCGTGCACATGTATTTATTGCATTTTGGTTTTTTTCTGGCCACGGATCCGAATTTTGATCCCAGGATAAGTGGTAGTATAGGTGATTTCCTTTTATCTTGGCCCATCAAGGAGGAGCAGATGATCATCTGATCCCACTGCAAATTACAGGACTCTTTATAGTCAGTCTTCAGTCTTTACGTTGCTACACCGAAGATCATAAACAGTGACCATTGACCAAACACACTATTCTCCAGAAGAAAAATTGTTTTCTGCGATTGTCAGAGTTTGACATTTCCAGGTCAACAACTTGGTAGATGGAATAACACAGCAAATCGTAAAATCACGAAGCGAAAATTGGTTCCAGGCATCTCGTGATGGGTTGATAAGAGATCAGAATTAATGTGATTAAAGAATAGAGACATTATTTCAAGCTGGTAGACAAGTAATCCATTTAGATGTCCAATAGTTCATAATAAGTTAGTCCACTGGTAAAATAAATCATGGCGGCCATGACACTTCGGTGTTAGAAACGGCATTATTCAAATACAGAATCCATTTCAAAAACAGATAGAAAGGCTGTGATAATGAAAGACATTCGATAGATGACATGAAGATCAACGTCTTAATCGTGTTAAACAAAGCGAAAGAGAAATCACACCATTCTAAATTTTACACTCTCTAGACATTCAACAAATAGATCACGATATTGGAAAGCCTTAAAAATCACTGTTAAGAGACCTTGTGAATTTAATGTTGCCATATTTTCGAGATCTGTTACTTGGCTTCGAAACTTAATAGCTTTTGTCTGTTCTTGACAAATTATTCCTATAGACTTCTTAATGTTCTTCTTTTGTAAGCCAGCCTTAGACAGATCTTTTATTCATGTTTTATATTCAAGTTCTTTACTCTACGATTTATAACTTTTTGTGTCTTTGATAATGCCTTTTAACTAATGACTTAATCCCGTGCTTAAAGAATATGTCTTTTGATTGATTCCCTGATCGATAATCTTCATTTACCTGGTAATTGGGATGTTTTTAAATTTAGTTAGATTGGAAAGCATAACAGCCTTGGAGATTTCAGAAATTTGTTTTCAAGGGATGGGGTATGGTTTATCATTTTAAGTTGAAAAAAAAAACAATACAGTATTTCAGGCAGTGACGACTCCAACGGGTATCCCATATCCCACCTAATATCTTGGTGGAAATATAGATTTTTTTTGTAATATTTGTTCATTGCATAATCTAATTAAGCCCTTTATTTACACATTTCGTTTACTACCCCCGTTATATTATAAAAATAAACAATTGGCGGTAGCCCCTAACACACGGACAAACAAACAAAAGGCAGGGAAATCTCGTCTCTCTAATGTTGAATTAAATGCATGCTTGGGTTCTGGCTTATATTAACTTCTGTTGCGGACCATCACATTTGACTTATTGCGTTTAATGTTGCATGTTAAGCTAAGACAATTAAATTAACTTCAGAACTCGCCAAGCATGAAATATATCTTGGAAACTGTTTGAAATTGAATCTTGGCATCGATAAAGGTTTGTTGTCGGAGGAAATTAATAGGTCTATCGTACCTCAACCGGGAGCGCAAACAGACCGATAAGTCTGGTTCCCATAACTCATTACTGATCGGATTTCAATACTAATGTATATGTGTAGACATAACAAGTTGTATGGATGAAGTATTACCCCTTTCCCTTATTTGGCTGCAGAAATTAACACCATTGGGTGATCAATAAGGAAGGTTATTTCGATGAAGGACATGCCCAAGTAATGGACTCTTTAGTTCGTCTTGGTACCCTTTAATTTTTTTAGTCTTTTTTCATCTTTTCACTCTTGATATAAATCATTAAGGAAAAGAGAAAACTAAATAGCACTTAAATAATTCTCTCATTGCACACATAAAGGAGATACCCTTCTCCATTTGCACAACTGGATGCAGAAACGTAGACCAAAACCTCGGTAGTAAAGCCCGCATCATACAAGAACAAAGATGGTAAAGTAGGCCCTACGTCTGTAATCAAAAACTCTTTCGTACTCGAATATCATCGTACCCTTTCACTGCTTCCGTTTAGCCATCTGTTACGGACACAATATTGGAACTATTGGCCTAATATATACTATCACCAATAGAGCTACCATATTTAACAAATAAATAAACTATAGTTTGAAAATGTGAAATAACATATGACTGAGGTATGTTGCTGATCCCAAGTGGTTTGATGTAGGTAACTAACTTCCTCCATATTGTTCTATGTTGCGTTTTTTTATCAGGTGATGCTTTGTTGTTTGAAATTTGATCAGCTGAAAATAGCATGATTATGAGCACAATTTCACACATGCGGCGAACTTCTTTCTTGGACACTTGTGTCCACTGAAGAAGTTAAACTTTTAGGATGTGCCACATGCTGTTTGGTTATGTAGCTGATCCCTATTAGATTACTATTGACGTAACTAGCTCCGTACTAATGGTTTTTTGATGTACAGGAATTTTTACGTGGTTTGCGAGACCAAATACGCCATAGAAAATCTGTTTTGGGTCCAGTTTATTTTGAGCTCATTTCTCATGCGTTCACTACATAGGCAGTGTTTGATGCACACTTACCAAGAACCTCCACACTTGAAGTGCCTTCTCAAATGACTTAGTTTATCCGACTGTAAAGTAATGGGATACATATTGTTGAGTAAATGCCAATATTACTGGTGTCTATGTAATACAAGAGTATGTTTCTTATAATATGATCCATTGAACATGTACAAGACAATGGTGAACACATGTGCTGCCTCTTTAACTCGGGTTCAGAAATTTCGCATACCGGCCTTATATTCAGTCAGCGAAACGTTATGTTCCTTTAGAAGGCCGATGTAACAGAACTACTAGGAAAACGTTATGCAGCATTTGTTTTTTTTACTAAGACTGAACAGTTGTAACAGAATGCAGGATGCTTCAAATTATACTTGGCCCACAACAACTTAAAAAATAAAAACTTAACATAATACATAAATTCATACAATTCATTCACATTCTGGCAGGGCCTCTAATAATATGACCATTAACTGTCACACTGTGTCTACACATATTCTTGACAACGTCATTAACCCCTAAACACCCATATTTACCCGGACATTTCAGTGACTACACACAAATATTCTCAACAGACTCCACAAACAATACACAATATATACGTCACTTGCTTCATATGAACTTTTTTGTCAGCACTTAATTCTAATCAGAGAAACACAATTTTATATTTCGTTTTCAATTTAGACATTACGTCGAAGAAATAAAACAGTTATTATAAATATAATTTCAGTTACGGACAATTACTCTTACTAATGATAGTAATGATGAAAGTAGTAATTTATTGATATTAATGGTCATATTATTTTTCTAATTGCAGGTAATATAAAAGTCCATAACAATCCAAATAGCTTAGAGCGAGATGAAAATCACCCCGCCGCCCATTTAATGGGAGGAATTCACAAACCAGAACTTAATCAACGTGAGTTTGTTTTTTTATTATGATCATGTACTTCTCTGTTTAAAATGTCATCATCGAATGTCACTGTTTAGCATATCATCATTGGTTATCGACTTCATATCTGTATCAAAGGGTTTGCCATCAGTCTATCTGTTGTTTAAAAGTCGTTTGTCTGTATATTGAAGGTGTTGCCAATTGTCTTATTTATATTAAAGAGATTTTCTAGGTTTTTTTTTTGTATTTTCGGGGTCATTCATAGCTTCTACTTGCATCATTCTCATTTTTCGTACGATGTTTGTTGTCCCTGTAATTATAAAAATGCTTAACCGTGCTAAATCAAAAAACGCCTAGTTTCGGTGGCATTACAGCACCCACATACGTCTTACGCAGAATTAAAAAGCTGCAATTCAATGCTAGCATTAGACCTGCACAACAAAGTTAAGAAAATCTTTCAACCCCCTAGAAGTATAAATATTTCCTTGTCTGTTATTAATTTGAACTGATTTCTCCTTTCAGCTCCGGGAAGACAGTTCTCTGTATCCAACTGGATTTACGACCAAGATTTGGCCTTCACGTCAAGTGTAACGTACCGTCATGGTAGAATTGTCGTTCCCGTACCAGGTCTGTACTACGTGTACAGTCAAGTCTCCTTCCTCGAACGTTACGTTCAGTCCAGAGATAGCGCCGCCAGCACCGAATCACCCAGCTTGTCTCACTACATTTACAGATACAACATCATTTATCCCAACGGTGGCGAAGAAAAAATGATCCAAAACTCTATCACCAAGTGTTGGGGCACTAACAAGGGTTTTGGCGAATACACCAGTTATTTAGGTGCCGTCTTCGATCTCAGACAAGGAGATGAAATTTTTGTCAAAGTGTCCAATCTCACCATGGTTGCCCGTGATCCTAAATCCAACTATTTCGGTTTGTTCAAGATTTGAATGGTGTCCAGAAATATATTCGAAAATGAAACTACCTGACACGTGTCTTTCAAGAAACATCCAGTTTTTGACGTCAACCAATCATGTGCGTGGAAATTATTTACTGCTGATGCGGTGCCCCTGCCTCTTTGGAGCATAAAATTTGGTCTGATACGTAATCATTGACTCATATCCAGTATCAAGGACATCCCCAACGCAGTACAAGATGAAGGACCTACTCTGGGCAAGGGTCATTATTTACATTAGATCATTACCGTCCGAAAACAGGATTGTACTCAAGAATATTACATCACCACGCTCATGACTATTTTTAATTTCGAAAGTAATACGTTTCGAAATGGGTGATTGAATTGTTTGGATTGCCAAAAATTAGCCAATATTATATTATCCATTGTGAATCTATATATTATGTATATCATGTGATTTGTTTTAATACATGTATCAGTTGTAGATACATTTATAAATTGTTCTGATGTACTAATACATGTTTCAGATACATGTATACTTTGTATGTATGTACCTAACATGTGCGAATACATGTATCAGGTTTTGATGCATATATTATACAGGTATTGTTTTTTAAACTCTGAAACCAATGTTAGTTGTTGATACATAAATATAATATATTGATACACGTGTGTTGTTCTGATAGATAAACTGACACGTTATCAGAATTGAAGCAAATTGTTTTGAAACATGGTTATTTCTTGCGATACATTGTAGAATTTGTTTAGTTCTGATGCATTTATTAGATCTTTTGGATTAGTTTTTATGATACATAGCATAAGGTTTCATTCTGGTGCAAATAGGAAGTTCAATACTAATTTTATATCACAGGGCCTTGTTATATGTAGCGGGCCAGCTCTAGCCGAGCCAGATCGGTCATTCGGGATTAAATTTGTGCTCCTCAAAACGCGGACTGGTCACAGTGCCAGTAAGTTTCCGTTTGATTTTATTCTTGGAAGCCATCCTGGTAAACCGGGAAATCTTTCCTTGCCGTGCTGACCCCAACACATATAACCAGGCCGCTGTTAACATTATTTTCTACGCGGGCTTATATCTTTAATGTTTCTTTAATTGTCAAACATCTATTCCGAATCAGATAAAATATAAAATTTGGTATATGTATCTTGCTTGTTCATTTCATTAGTTTGTAGTAGTTAGTAAAAAATAATTTTTGATATCACATTAAAGGTGGCGTATATTTCATGCAAAGCTTAACATAAAATAAATATCCATGTATATAGTATATCCATAATTATTATTCCGCTCATTAAAAAAAAGTGAAAGAAAAACTTTTAAAAAGTATAATGAATGAATTTGTATATTGAATGTATTTTATGGTAATGTTTGTTAATTTGCATAATAGCACAAAATGTATCATACGTAGCTCTCCCAAAACTTTCTTGATCTGGTACTTCAGTCATCAGAGCAATTTTAAAATAAATGCCATTTTCATCTATAGAACGTTATATATTGCATCAAAATTTAGAAAATCATGATCACGGAATCCGGAAAGATTTACCATGACTTTGACGTTTTGCGTACTGTGGAAAGGTACGTCAAAAAGTTGTTTTATGTTGGAAGTTTTTCATTTATTTTGAGGACGAACATTTGGCGAATACACTGGAAATGTTATGAATATGAACAAAATCTCACAATTTCGTTGCATGCGAATTTAAAAATCATGCAGTTGTACAATTTGTTAATATTTCAGGCATTATCAAATTGAATCGCTTAAGTTGAGCAACTAAATTCCACAATCATTCAATGTAATGGTACCTCTTGCTTTGTAACGCGATCTTTTGATGCCCATCGACCCATAAGTATAAGGGATATCTTGAATTTGACCACAAATATTGAATCCCATACTTTCTCTTGGTATTTAATTGATGCCATAAGCGAAAAGATAATGTGAAATTCCACCCAAAAAATTGAAATAATGGTCGATATTTGAAGCATTTTCTGATGAACACTGCTATTTGTGGATCGTCCATTGGACAACTTAGCTGCCCCTTGTGATGTTGGGAACAAGGAATTTGTAATGATAAAAAATTCTTATTGAGGTTTCTGGCTTGTAATGTAAGCGTTAATCGTAAAGGCAGCTCGGACTAGCAACATCAGTACATCGTCAATAACATCTAGGGGAATAACAGGAAAGTCAGTTTTGGAATTTCTTGTTAGGATAGCAACTGAAATTAAGAAAATTGGGAATTAGGTGTAAATTTTAAGCGATTCAACTATGGGGTAAAAATTGCCTTGTGTGTTATGTTTTGGATGTATATATAAAATATCATATATTATTCATATTTGTTGAGTTCATATTTAATTTGTTTTTTTTTTATTTATTTCATCGAGTTGGTGATTTTTTTGTTTTTGATATAAGTAGTAAAATAAATCTTAACTATTTAGAATTTTTTAAGTTTTAAACGCAGTGTAGGTTTACTAAACATAAAATTGCTTTGTTATATATAATGGTGATGTTTCTAGCTTTCCAGAATTCTGAAGATTTCATTGTTTGTGTACCTAACCGGTTTTACGTTCATTTGCCCAAATGTAAAGCTAATTTAGCTGTTGAACGCAGGCCAAATCGGGTCACATGCTGATGGAATTAACATTTTAGCGATTCAACCCTTGGTATTGGAATTTATATAGAGACAAGTATGATTTGATGGTGGCTTAAACGTCATAACCACAAGAAACCGAAATTAGAAAAATCGTGTGTGCAACAGCAGCATTTAACGACCAAATCATTACTGCCAAAACTATTTATATTTTAGGCGTTTAGATTTATATATTTGTACTGCAAAAGTATTCGTTCAGTTCTATCCGAATAACTTGTGCTTTCGCATTGGCAAATAAACTTATTTGGTCATAATCAAAAGCTATCAGGATAGAATTGCAGTACGAAATCAAATCGAACTGAATCGGATTTTTCAAATTAGTTATAACGAGTTCAATAATCCAGTTGTGCAGTACTTCCAAATGTACTCCCCATTTGACATACCTTATCATATAATTAATATGAATTTCATTTTGTTTTGTTTGCTTCAATCATCGTGTGCTGATTAATATTAACAAATATCAAGTATAAATCGTTTTCATTGTGAATGTAACATTTTAATTCACTGTTTCGTAATAAACCATGCCTATTTTTAACTTGTCGTTTTGATTGGTATATTATTATTTCGGTCTAATTTTGATAAAGATATGCCGCAACAAATTGTCAGAACTTAGGAATGGTTCATAATTACCTCTGGGTATGCCATTATTACCGCCTAGTAAATTAGGCTACAATTTGACGCCATTTGTTACGTTAATTTTTTTTCGTCGAACAAATGGTAGATACGGGGTCTAATCGCTGTTGGTTGATTTATTATTGCAGTCGATCTTGATGTAAAGATCATGATGATTGATTTGACAGGGTAGCGACGAAGAGCCCAATAAGTCTCATTATTATATTAAGAAAATATATTCAGCGAGATGGCAACAGAGATTGGCCTTAGTAAATATTGCATGTACTGCATTACGTGATAATTATATGTAAAAGCATGCAGAACGCGATTTACCTTTATTGTGTGGGTTGTTGGTGAATATAAGGATTACTTCATGAACAAGCGCATTGAACGGTCTCTCCGAAGAAGATACATTGAGTTGCAGTTACATATTTATCAATTTACATGCACGGAATTGTCATTGCGCCAAGTCACAATGTTCCTATAAATATGTTTTTGATTAACAAATACTTATCATAATGAACTAGATATCTGGTTCTAAATGATATGTTTATATTAATAAACGATAGGATGCCGATTATACTCATCTTCACAAGCTATTCTTCTTAAATCTTGACTGCAATAACCACCTTTCTTGCATCACGGAATTCGGCGATTTGATTGGATTGCACACAGATGTAACATAAAGGCTGTAAACATTATGGCTTATTGTTAACAGACTCTCTGTAGAGGCCTCTAAGTGGCTGATGATAATTATGATGATGATGTTGATGCTGACACTGATGATCTTATGCTTCTGCTGATGACGATGTTGGTGATAATGATGATGCTGATCCAATAAAATCGCAGCATCTTCTAGGCAAAACTTCTATGACACAGAACACATGACTATTGCAATTAATGTATAAGGCGGAGCAGACTCTTACAGCTTACTCTTTTCGAAACACCTAATGGTACTTCTTTCTGGAGGGGTCCACTACTATACGACTATTACTCTCGATTTTGCCATACTTTGGAGGAGATTTTGATTGAAGGAATTGTCTTGTTTTCTATTCGTAATAACTTGACATTGTGAAGATGAATTATGCATAGAAAGTCGACATCTACCATTACTATTGAAAGTGGATTATGTTTCCATAACTAACTCCAATGTTATACATTCCGAACAGTTTATTTGGCCAATTTATTATAAACATTTCCAAATGTCAAGTATTGTTATAAAGAACACATAATGTGTATAAAATAACTTCATAAATAAACATAGAATATTACTGCCATTATGAATAAGTCTCAATCAACCATATTGCATAAGTATGCCAGTACGAGTAGAGAATTATGGTGTAGGTTGGGCGAACGATATTCATCTTGGCTACAAAATGACATGAATCAGCGATGGTTCCGCGGTGATCGCTAACCCGAAGGTTAAGGGTTCATCCACGACCTTCGGAATTTTCAACCCGGTTTCCCCGGAGGGCTGACATGGAAAAAGCGTATTTGCGTTTTGATGGGACAATAAGCCGAGGTGCCGTGTGCTATAGGCTGTGCACGTTAAATATCCCATGACAGTTGTAGAAAAGCGGGACGTAGAAATGACATGAAGTCTTTACTTCTAACTGGTATGTTCTGTGAGGGCAAATCTGGAAGTAACACAACTACGCTAAAACACTTGAAATAGATGCATCACAGTGGTCATGAAGAGTTGGACATAAAGCTTATGATGAATAAAAGACCGTTGCACTTTTATTGTACATTTTATTGGGTTTA